AGTTATGTAGAATTCTAATAAAAAATTTTTATCGAATTTGGTCAAGTGGGTGCCATGATATTTTCGATTAAAGTTGTGTGGTGTAGTTTCTATATTATTAGTTATTAAAAATTCTCAATGTTCGATCGAAGATATCTCAGTACCAACTTGACCAAATTTGACAAAAATTTTTTTATTCAAATTCTACAGAACTGTAGAATTCAAAAAAAAAAATTCATCAAATTTGGCCAAGTGGGTACTGAGATACCTTCGATCAAAGTTGTGTTAACAATTTTGGCGCAATTTTTAACAGACGTTTTAAAAATTCTCGAACTTTGATTGAAGGTATATTAGTACCCACTTGGCCAAATTTGATGAAAATTTTTTTATTCGAATTTTAAAGAACTGTAGAATTCGAATAAAAAAATTTTCATCAAATTTGGTCGAGTAGGTGCCGAGATATCTTTGATCAAAGTTGTTTTAAAATTTTAACACAGTTTCTATATCATCGGCATGTTAAAGTTCTTAGACTTTAATTAAAGATATTTTGGCACCTACTTGACCAAATTCAATGAAAATTTTTTTATTCGAATTCTAAAGTTATGTAGAATTCTAATAAAAAATTTTTATTGAATTTGGTCAAGTGGGTGCCATGATATTTTCAATTAAAGTTGTGTGGTGTAGTTTCTATATTATCGGCTATTAAAAATTCTCAAAGTTCGATCGAAGATATCTCAGTACCAACTTGACCAAATTTGATAAAAATTTTTTTATTCGAATTCTACAAAACTGTAGAATTCGAATAAAAAAATTTTCATCGAATTTGGCCAAGTGGGTACCGAGATATCTTCGATCAAAGTTGTGTTAACAATTTTTGCACAATTTCTAATAGATGTTTTAAAAATTCTCAAACTTTGATCGAAGGCATATCAGTACCCACTCAACCAAATTTGATGAAATTTTTTTTATTCGAATTCTACAGTTCTGTAGAATTCTAATAAAAAAATTTTTGTCGAATTTGGTTGATTGGGCATCAAGATACCTTTGATCAAAGTTGTGTAAAAATTTTAACACAATTTCGATTTTATTCATCGATCACTGGGTCACTATGGTCAGACTAATTTCTGGGGTTGTTACAATTAGATTAATCCTTTGTAAAATACTTAAAACTAATATTTATTTTATATTAAATTATAATAATAAAAAAATATTTGTAACAACTATAAATAAATATTTATAAAATACTAAGTATTTAAAAATATTATCAGCAAGCATTTATTTAATAATAGCATTTAATTTATATAAGCTAAACATTTTTTTAATTTTGTGATATTTGTGAAGGAGAATTTGGAGGAGAGAAATCTAGAAAATTTTGTATCCAAAATACTTAAACTTTATATAGAGGAATTTAGAAGATTTTATATAGAAGAATTTAGAAAAACTTGTATTACTTTTTTGTATTACTCTTTTGTATAATCTAAAGTACTCTTTTATATAATTTTGTTTTACCTCAGATCATATAGATTATGTGACTGTATCACAGTTTCAACAGCCAATCAAATTGTTTTTATATAATTGCTATTGTCATGTTTTTTCTTTTGAAAAATCGTGACTTGTAGTAACGAGAATATATAAGCCCGGGTTCATAAGTATGTTGTAAGACTAAGTTGTAGCAAATACTTAGAAGTTTAGATCTGTACCAATATTTATTTTATTCATCATCTTTGTTTATTTTATATCTATAAATTCTTTTTTATTTGTTTGTTATTGTAAAGCCTAGGGTTGGGTCTGAAAAAGCTTAGAAGCTTAGTTATAAAATTGGCTTAGAAGGTTTAGATCTGAACAGACTAAGATTGGATAGATAATAATGTTAGCACAACAAAATATAGACCCAGACTTAAAAGTAAGAAGAGTAAATTTCTTGTAGTAAGGCTTCTATAAACTTGAAAGTATAAAAGAGCTGCATTTTTGCTCTTCAAATAAAGCTTTAGATTTCATTGTCTTTAATATAGGAGTATTAAGAATTGATTTCTCGAATTGATATTATATAAGTTACTATTGTATTGTTGTATTTAGTTTATATTTTATTTTTCTTATCTTAACCGTGAAGGTGCTTCACGATTGTATTATATATTTTGTTATTACTTATTACTTTATTACCTTATAAGTATTGATCCTTATTATCAGTTGTATTGATTAACTATCGATATTACTGATTTATTTAATTACGATTACATAAACTTGATTTATTTACTTGATTGATTACTGATAGATATAATTAAGTGCCCCAATCTCAAATTAATTATACAAACTCATGTATTTAAATTATTATTATAATCGATTTTATTTATTATTATAGTATTTTGAGTTCTCACGAAGAATATATAAAGTTAACTATTGAAGTTAAATTGTGCTAATAGTTCTATAAGCTCTCCCGAACAATAGTAACATTTGGTGCCAATTGTATAGATTGAAAAAGATATTTGTATTAGAGAAATTATAAATCTAAGTAGAAATGTCTATTAATCAACAACTCCAACAGCCAGCTCAATTGAATCTGAATAATTTTTTACATAATTTAGCTAACCAAATTGCTGCTTTAGTTCAGCAGATGCAAACTACGCTGCCCCCGCAAGTTAATATTCCTGTTAACCCTTGGGAACTTAACACTATATCTTATTCCAAATTTCATAGAGGAGACCAAAATCCTATAACTTGGCTTGAAGATGTTGATAAAGCTTTCAAGGCTAATCTTATATCACTATTCTGAAAAATCGCTATGATTGTTCTCATGCTCAAAGGTCCTGCTACAACTTGGTGAGTTACAAGAAGAAACCAGTACCCTATAATTGATCAATAGCGTAATCCTCTAGTACCTTAACAAAGTTTTACTACCTATTTTATTAATAAGTTTAGAACTCCTGAACTAGAAGGAAAATGGTTCGCACAGTTAACTCAAAGGAAACAGTTGCTAGGTGAAAGTGTAGATGAATATCATATGGCTATTGAAGAAATGTTTTGACGAGTAGAGTTAGAAGATCACTAATACCTAAACATGGCCAAAGCTCAAATGTTTATTACTAGACTTCGTCCTGAATTATTTGTGGCTGTGTTTCCTCTTGCTTCTAATACATTGGAAGAAGCATACTCTAGAGCAAAAATATTCGAAAATGCTTATAAGCAGAATTCTATTTCAACTGCTTATACAACTCCGACAGTTTTTCATTTTCACTATAGTTTTCCTGGTACCCCAAATCTTAATTTTGCTAGTTCGAATGAAATAGCTAAGGCCTTGAAAAGTTTAACGAATTCGATCGATAAACTCATAACCCAACTTTAAGATCAACAAAAGTTACTACCTCGACCTCGATCTGGAAATTTTGCTTTATCTGCTATAACATGTTTCACTTGTGTTTGTACTAGATATTATAGTTGAAATTGTCTCAATTCATCAAATAATCATAATAATCCTCTAGTTAATAATTGGCTACCCGTGATTAATAATAATCCTGGTGTTAATAATAATAATAATCCTACTCTTAATAAAAATGATCAGCAAGAAACCTTTCAAGTATTATTAACATTAATGAATAATAATTCAGACCTCTTTAATAATGCAGGAAATCAAGCTTTGTATTTAGGAATTCCTGATGATGAGTCATTATTTTTTCTAGCTGATAGGCCAATTTATCCAAAACCTATAGCGAATACACTGATTCGTAAAAAAAGGCCAACTGGATTGAAAATAACTGATTTAATCGATCTTAAAGAAACAGAAGGTGATAAAGATTCTGATATTAAAATGTAAGAAGTTAATAAAAACCACAGAGACCAAGAATTGCCAGACCCAGTTGTTCAAGATCAAGAGAAGATTGATTTAGCTGAGTTATGTGATACTAGTAAAGTTGAATTACCTAAAGTGAATAAAAAAGATGATATGAAAGTAGTTTAGAAAAAGGTCTAAATGATGCGATACAAAATTATTATTGAAGATGACCTACTGCAAATCACTTCTTTAGTAACTCCATATTCTATCATAGCTGACTTAAGAAATAAACCTGCTAATATTATGTTTGGGCAATTGTTAAGGGTAGTAACACTTATGAGACAGAAATTATCATAATCATTATAGAAGAAAAGAGTTATTAATCGAAAGAAAGTTTAAGTTAATGTTAATATTCAACCTAGCTTGAAATTAACGGCTTTATATTGTGATGCTAAAGTCTATAAGCGAGTAATTCCACTAATTGTTGATAGTGTTTTTCTAGAAGTGTTGTTATGACTCATCTGTTGAATGATCTTGGAATAAGAATCGAATAACCATCAATAGTAAATATGGTTAATATTTATGGTAAAAGCAAGCATGCTATTAGAGAAATCTCTGACTTTCTATTTAGTATTGGTGGTGTTGAAATCCTGATCGATGTAGTTATAACTAATACTAGTTCGTATTGTGTTATCGTAGAGAATGACTGGTTAGCTAAAGTTAATATGGCTATCAATTGGAATAGGTCCAAAATGTCTTTGGTTTGGGATAATAAGGAAACTGTTGTTTCAGTTGAGTATCGAAAATTATTGAGGATGCTATTAGATAAAGAACAAGTCATAAGAGTAAGAGATCTTGATAATAATGACAATAACAAAAAAGAAGAAGTTGAAGATAAATTTGAGGAAGAAGAATTAGAGAAACAATTGTATACAATTTTGAAGTTTGATGATGAAAAAGTGAATGTTCGAAAAAGATTAGGTTCAGAATAGGATAAAATTATGATAGAAAAAGAAAGAGATATTGAACGATCGGATGAAGAAATAGTATTCTATGGTGGAAAACCTGCTGCAGGTCTTATTTCGATACAAAAAGAAGATAATTAGATTATATCAAATTTATTTGATTACTACTATGAAAATGGAAGCTAGGCTGTAGTAGATTACAAGATTGGAAATTTAAAAAAGATCAGAACAAGCAGATAGTAAAACTGCTTAATGAAAATTTTGACTTTTATACTCAAAGCATTTCTGAATTAGAGCAGACCGATATAATCCATCACCATATCCTGACGCAAGATGTCTGGCCAGTATGATAGCGTTCATATCGATATTCCTCTGCAGAAAAGAAATTTTTAAAAGAAAAAATTGACATTATGCTAGATGAGCAAATTATTCGACCATCTATGAGCCTGTGGGTGTCTTCAATTGTATTAGTAAAGCAAAAAGCCTGAAAAATACGATTTTGTATTGATTATAGGAAACTGAATGCTATAACCATTAGAGATAATTATTTATTACTCTAGGTTGATGAACTTTTAGATGCGTTAAATAGGTCATCTTGGTTTATGTCATTAGACTTAGCTAGTGAATATTAGCAAGTCAAAATATTTGAAGATGATAAAGAAAAGACTGCGTTAATTTCACTATATAGACTTTACAAGTTCAACATTATACTATTTGGACTTATGAATACCCTAGCTACATTTTAGAGGTTGATGGATCAAATCTTCAGCAACATAAATGGAAGATTTGTTGTCATTTATTTTGACGACCTCAATATCTTTTCCAAGTTGTTCGAAAAATATTTGGATCACCTGAGGGAAGTGTTTCTATGACTAAGATAAGCGGACTTAAAAATTAAACCCCAAAAATGTTATTTTGCCCAGAAAGAATTAAAATTTTTAGAGTATATCGTAAGTGCATAAGGGATATTAACTGATCTAGAAAAAATTCAAGCTGTTCAAGAATTCCCAATCTCCTGAAATTTGAGACAGTTACATGAGTTTCTTGAATTGGTATCTTATTATCGACGATTTGTTTTTGAATTTACAAGAATCGCTGTTTCACTGAATTCGTTATTATAAAAGGATATTGGATATCATTAGACCTTAAGACATCAAAAAGCTTTTAAAAGATTAAAAGAAAACTTATCACAGCTTTGGTTTTAGTATATCTAGATTTCTTAAAACCCTTCATTCTCTTTACCGATATATCAAATTTAGCCTTAGGTGCTATTTTTTCTCAGTTGAATGAAGATAGAAAAAAAAGAGTAGTAGTCTACACTAGTCAATCTTTAATATAGGCTAAAAAAAATTATTCGATAACAGAAAAGGAGTGTCTTGCTGTTGTTTGGGCCATTTCATATATTAGACCCTATTTTTACAGAGTTCTCTTTACACTTTATACTGATTATTCTGCATTAAAATTATTATTCTCTCATCGATTACTTCAAAACCGACTAGCCAAGTGGATCCTGACCTTGCAGGAGTATAGATTTACTACTATTTATAGGCCCAGAAAAATACATCTTAATGCCAATAGTCTTTCATGAATCTAAGACAATCGACTTTTTAAAATTATTTCTCCTACTTTAAACAGATACAATATCGATTACAGATTACTCAAAACTTTGATTAACAGAAACTTTATGAATTTAGATACTTACTATTTATTTTTAAAGTACCTTAGCGAGTCTACAATACCTTCTAGTTATACAGATTCTCAAATTAGAGCATTGAAACATAGAACTTGACACTATCTTGTTAGAGAAGAATTGTTATACAAGAAGAACCCCTGAAATCCTCTCAGACTATTATGAATATTGAAGCTACAAGAAGTTGAACCTATCTTGTATACAATGCATTTAGATCCATTAGCTAGGCATTTCAATAAAGAAGCAACATATCAGCGAATTCTTACCCGATATTTTTGACCACAGATAAGAACCGATATTTGGGATTATATTAAGTCATATAACTTATGTCAAAGAAGAGAAAAACCCAATACTAGAGAACCTTTTCATCCTATTCAAGTTTGACAACTTTTTGATCGAATAGGTATCGACATCGTCAGGTCGCTTCTAGCTACTACAAAAGAGTATCAATACATAGTTGTTGCAACAGAATATTTAACCTGATGGCCAGAAGCACGTGCGATTGAACGAGCTAATGCTGAATCAGTAGTTGCTTTCCTTTTCGAGAATATTATTTGTCATCACAGAAGTCTACGCGAATTACTTTTGGATCAAGAAACTCATTTTTGTAATAAGATCATAGACGTATTGTGTATCAAAATGAATATTCGTCGTTCAAAATCAATAGCTTATCATCTCCAAACGAATGTGTTAGTTGAACACTTTAATCGAACATTATGTGAAGTTTTAGCAAAGTGTATTAAAGCAATTGGAATGATTATGTACCGGCAGCACTATTCACCTATCATACGAATAGACATTCTGTTACTTGTTATAAGCCCTTTTTTCTTATGTACAGGCGAGATGCTTTGTTATCTGTAGAAACTGTAATTCTAACTTATCTAAATGAACTGATCACTAAGGAAGAATTACAAAATCAATTGTTATAGCGAATAGAAAGCTTGATAGGACAATTAAGTAAATCGTGTTATCAGACTAAAGCTAATATTAAAAAGCTCAAGATAAACAAAAAGCAGTAAATACAAGAAAAAAGAAGTACAAGAAAAGAGAAGCAAAAAAAAATAAAAATAAAA